TCAGCAGGAGATTATCTGTGTAATGGCAGGAAGAATTATTTGCATGTGAAGGGCTATTAAACTTTCCCAAAGCTGGATGCTTCCAACACCCTTCACTTCCGTTATCCAGATTCTCTACATAGTTCATAGATTCACAGAATGGTTTGGGTTGGGAAAGACCCCTAAAGGTCATCCAGTCCAACATCTGCATCTATCACCAGGGACATCCCCAGCTAGAGCAGGGTGCTCAGAGCTCCATCCAACCTCCCCTGGGATGGTTCCAGGCATGGGGCAGCGACCACCTCTCTGGGCAGCCTGGGCCAGGGGCTCAGCACCCTCAGGGTCAAACATTTCTCCCTTCTCTCTAGCCTAAATCTCCCTCTTTTAGATTAAAACCATCCCCCCTTGTCCTGTCACAACAGCCCCTGCTCAAAAGATTCTCATACCCACACATGAAGCTGAAGGAGCTTCCTCATCAGCATTGGAGCTGCTCCAGTATTTGAGTGCAGAATCACACACTGTACTAACACACTTTATTTTTGACATAGCCACAAGTTTCAGCTGCTTCTTAGCAGATGACCTCATGGAGCTAAACATATATAGAGGCATTTAAAAAAATTCTGGATCCAACTTGCCTGTGTGTCTTTTCTTCTTTTCAAAACACAATTTATGATACCACCCAGATGATTATTTTCCCTCAGAATAAGGTGATTTTGTGAAAGACAGAATCTAATATCCACCCAACCTCTGTGCTGTAGTTAATAAATTTAATGTAAGTAAGAAACTTGAAGGTGCCAAAAAGGTATTTTTACTTTAATAAAACACAGAGGCTGCCAAAAGGGCAGCGAGCAAGTTCTTATGTCCAATCTGTCCTGTGCATTCTGGGGTCTAAAACATCATTTGGACAATCTCTTAATTTACACACCTTACCTGTAAATCACATCATGTAGATGAATTTTATCATTTCACATTGAAATATTGATCTGGTGTTAAAAATATTTAGTTGCCAAACAAACCAGTAGAATTCTATCAGGACTGTGGCTGATGCAATTCATGTTTTGATCTTTCTACAAGAATGATCTGTAGATTCAATCTTTTGGTTCAAGGGAGACACAAAGCTACACAATTTACTTTTTTTTTGATAACAGAAGCCAAAAATGGCTGAGTCCCAAACTAAACAGGGAAAAATTTGGGAAGTTTGTCTCTTCCCCAAGATTTCAACACATTCAGAGGGATTTAACCTAGATAATGCCCACTAAATGGACTGCACTTGGTGTCCTTTGCCCTCATACTTGAAACACATTGTTGTTCAAATCCCAGTGATTTCCATTAAACAGAAGCCAAAAATGGCTGAGTCCCAAACTAAACAGGGAAAAATTTGGGAAGTTTGTCTCTTCCCCAAGATTTCAACACATTCAGAGGGATTTAACCTAGATAATGCCCACTAAATGGACTGCACTTGGTGTCCTTTGCCCTCCTACTTGAAACACGTTGTTCAAATCCCAGTGAATTCCATTAATAAAGAGCATAAAAGTAAAAACAAACCCTTGATCCCTTGCTGAAGTCAGTGGAATATGGGCACTGAGTGCTTAAAATGAGTTTTCTTTTAATAAACTCACTAGACTGCTGGCTTCCAACTTAAAACCTACTGATATCAGTAAATTTCTCCTTAACCATGATGTGCCATCGTTTGGTACAGCTCTGAGAAACACCAACTGCTGCCAGGGCAGACAAGTGGAACCCTGTAAATTCTAAGATGATTGACTTCTTTGTGCCTGTTTGCCAAAAAGGTGCCAGCCATTATCTGATTATACCTCTTCCCATGGCATCCAGGCATCTAGTGGGTTGCCCACCTCCTGCAGACCACACTCAGCTCAGGCTGGATGGGAAAAACCAGACTGAACCACACAAGGATCTGCTCCCCATGGGCAAAGACCTCTGTCTCTTGCAAAGTTCACACTCACTTTCAGATGACACCAGAGGATGAACAATTAAACATAGTTAAAGGCCAAATAGAGCTGGAATCGTAGAGGAATGAAGCTCCAAAGGCAGGACAAACACATCTGAAGCTTGAGCAGGTTATCTTGAACTATGGCCCAGGCTGCCCAGAGAGGTGGTCGCTGCCCCATCCCTGGAACCATCCCAGGGGAGGTTGGACACAACTCTGAGCACCCTGCTCTAGTTGGGGATGTCCCTGATGACTTCAAGGATGTTGGACTAGATGACCTTTAAGGATCCTTTCCAGGCCAAACCAGTCTATGGTTTTCCTCATGATTTTAAGTTTTAAGCAGCTAGAGAATTCTACTTTCCTTACAGTCCTTCTGCTAGAGACCAGTCCACAGAATTGATCCATAAGACATTACCCAGCAGGTGGTTCTGGGTTGGATTCACTGAGCACTACATGTGCTGTGACAGAGAAGGAGTCCTGCTGATACAGCTTCCCAGCCTACACCTTGAAATATGGAGGACCCAAACACGCTCCCAGGGACTTCTTGCTTCTCACTAATGAACTTTCACAAAATGACTTTAACCCAATCAATTCAAGTGAATCTCTGGAGGCAACTGGGAAAGGTTTGCACTGTATTGAATCCAGGGAAGATACACAACAGGCAAAGGTTTGGGCAGCTCATTTGTTTCTCGTCTACTAAGGTATGGGTTCAACTTCCCCCACTGTTTGGAACTTCTGAAAACAATGATGAGCCTAATAAGCCTTACAGATAAAATAATCTGGGTGATCCTTGTGGTCCCTTCCAACCCTGAACAGATTCTGATTCTGTTTTAGCAGAGGACTTAGTAGTGTTGGCTTGATGGTTGGACTTATGATCTTAAAGGTCTCTTCCAACCTAAAGGATTCTATGACTCTATAATTCTATTCTTTAGAATACATATCTATCAAACCTCATACAGCAGCAAAAACCTGGGGACAGATTTATGTTTCCAGCTACTGCATGTGGACTTCATTTAAAACTGTATGTTAGAAAAAGAACTGCAGGCATATATTTGTCTTTTCCTTTTTTTTTTTAACTGCTAAATTAGTCAATTAAATAAAACCTATCGCATAAGGAAAATAGAGGTAAATTCTGCAGAGCCATCTTTCTTTTTAATTCCTTCTGGGATACGTGCAGGTAATTCAGGGAGAGCTGAACAGAAAAGATCATTTGAAGGAAGAGGTATTAGAGTGCAAAAGCATAAAAGGAAACAGTTATTTTAAAAGACAGCTGGAGTGTCATTCCCTAAACTCCCCGTGTGCCGCCGCCGCACCACCCGCAGCAGGACCATCATCCACCATGAATTATAAGGAGAAATCCCATTTGTCCTGCAAGGGAAGAACAGAGCAGATAACTTGGAACAGATGATCTGTCAAGATCTTGCCTGACTGGTAAGAAATATACGTTTCATTACAGAGTTTTTTTAAAATGTCTTTCCTGCCGTATCGCTCTCCAGGGAGGCCGCTGCGCAGCAGCCCACACAGTAACTTAGGGGCTATTCCTTCTAATTCAGCCTTAAAAGTTTCTAAAAAACGTGGACTATTAGGAAGAAATATGCCCCCGAAGAGTTTCGTTCCGCCAAACGTCTGGCAAGGGCAATGGAGAACCAAAAATGAGTGTAGGACGTTTCTGAAATCATTTAAAATGAGGATTTCTTTAACTCGAATCACACGAGACCTTGGCTACCCAGCCTCTGCTTGAAAAAAATGAAGCACTTTTCAAGGCAGCTGTTGGAACAGCAGACATTTCAGTGTGCAACGTCAACTGTCAGTTTATAAAATGTTAGAAAATATTTCAATAATCGGGTTAAAACAATTTCTGGAGGAAAAAAACCCCAACCTTAATTATGCAGAACTGCTGGATATGCAACGCGAGAACTGGCCAGTGCTGCAGCAGCAGGATCATTTTAGGATGGATGTGGAGCTTTTGCTTGCTTGAACTCAATGCTGCAGTGGTTTCCATTAAAAATTAAATATTTGCCAAGAGCTAATTCACTGTGACCCTCAGACTAGAAAATAACTACAATATCTCAAAGGAGAGGGGGAGATAATCGTTGTAAATACAGATTTTTACAATGATTCCTTTCTCTCATTTAAATTTCATAAGACCAGAAAATATTGGAGGGGACCTATATAAAAGTGTCATTTGAAGAGGCTGGAATGTAGAGGAGAGGGTGAGATGCTGATGATAAAATGTGCAGCTCTGTTGATTGTCACTTTTGGCA